CCAACCAACGCCACCACAAATTATCTTCTATAATATAGGAAAAGAGAGAAATACTGACTGCATCCCTCTTCCATGCAGCAAATGAGTTCCAAGTACAGAGGACAAGAGTACCCACATTCCAGCAAACTGTGCACTTTTCCAGCCCAAAAGAGAAGCAGTTTGTTAATTATTCTAGAAACTACTTATGAGTCAACATTTAGGAACTGCTAAGAAAAAGCAAGTGCTAAAACAATAGGGTCTACATTTACTGGTATGCATATTTATTTTACAGTCATTAGTACTTGCAGAAATGAATCCAGCACCTCTAACAGCCCCAGGCTTTGTCTCCCGTACTAGCCAGCCCTTGTGGTGCTGTTGTAATAAATATAGTTTTTAGCACAGGCTGTGTCTGCCAGGTGGCAGATACACCCAAACCTAGACAAGGTTTTGTGTACCAATGGAACAAGCTGGAAATATTGGCTATATTTGGCGGGGAGGCAGTAGGAAAAGCAGTGCACGGGGGTGATGCATTCACAGCAGCCTGGGTTGCTAAGCACGCAGCCTGCTATGCCGCTAAGCAGGCAGGACCGGGCAGAGCCATCAAGTCTGGAAGCAGCGGAGTATTTAATAAGCTGCATGCTACCATGCATTTACACGGCTTAAGTTGTAGTAAAGCCCTAGCAGTGAAGGGTCAAAAGTGCAGGGCTGGAGGGCTAAAGCCCACGCAGACCGCATCGTAACCCTTCCTGTCCTCAGCGGAAAAGGACTTACAGAGGAACAGCAAGAAAATGAGTCTCACTCCAACCAAGGAGAATTTTAAAGACCAAAAGGCAAGAATGTTAAAAATAATTGAAGCTAAAGCACACGTGACCAGGTCTGGCAAAGCTCATTTATGCAGAGGTTGTGGGGTATCTATGTGCCCCCAATAAACCGAGTGTAAGGAGTGCAGTGGAAAGGAAAATGAGATTCCCCTCCTTTGTGGTGTACATGTCTAAAACAAAATGACTCTTTGCTCGCCCTATGTATGTGATCTTAAGATTCTTTTATGTGAATCATTTGACAGTTACTTATTTCCCAGTGTGCATATTTAACTATTTCCCTGGGCATCATCCTCACCCTGACACTGCCGGAGACCAGAGTGCTGTCTCAGACAGTGACTCCCTGCAGCAGGCTCTCTGTGCTCTCTCTTTTCTCTCCCTCATTAGCAAAGGCGTTTCAATACTCACAGAGCTACCGGCTTTGGACAGGCGAGCCCATGTCTGATTTCACTTCCTCTAGTGTAATCATGGACTTCAGTGACTATGCTTTTCATTTATACTGACGTAACCAAGATTGAAATCTGTCCCACAGCAAATATTTATCAGAGCATATCAAAGGAAAAGCAGACCAGAAGAGAAACAAGCAAAACAGCGAGTGCCATTAAACTTTGCCAAGATAGATTTCAAAGTCAATGAAAACCACCCCAGAGACACAGAGCTAAAATGTAGGACAGGGTAGAACACTGAAAAAAAAATAAACCCAAGTTTCCAAACGCTGATGTTCTACAGAACAATTTTTAATTACTTATAACCTGTGAAGATTAAGGAAAACCTGCACAGAACTAACACTATACAAGCAGTCAATGATCACCACTCTGCTGCTTTTGTTGACGTCTTAGCTGTGATATGTAGCCCCATCACAGCTACCTGCTCAGGTCAGGGACCCTTTTCTAGACTAGTAGGAAACAGGACAACATCCACAACTGGCTTTCTAAATCATATAAAATAACAGGATGACACATTTTAATTAGATAATTAAAACTCTGTTGCTGCTTTGCTGCATGCCAAGGACACTCAGTTTCTTGGCAACAGACCCCTAATTTTCCTTCTTTGATATCCAGGTCACAGCCATTTGGATTAGAGGCTCATTTCCAGCAGCAGTGCATGGCGGTGGCACACAGCTTCCCATCCTGCTGTCAGTATGCCCCTGAAGTTCAGTGTCTTTCAACCGTATTTATAATTATAAAAGCTGTTAAATTAAAGCTCTTATAAAGGGTAATTTCTCAATATTCTCAAAGGTCAGGGGACACATAAGCATATTAACTTAGGTAGCCCTGTGCAACACTAGCAACTTCTTATACCAGTAGCAACAGTCTCTTGCCCTGTTGTAGCTGAAGAATGTGACTGAAAGAGTAGAGAGAAGGAGAACAACTGTTTCATGCCCAGCTCTCCAGTTTCTTCAAAAGTAAGGCCTACCCCACCCCCGACCACTTGCTACCATCCCGCCTTTTTAGGAGAAAGGGGAAGTCCTAGAAGAGGAGGACCTAGAGGACTACCTACCACTGTCCTAGAAGAGGTGTACCTGCTGTCCAGATTAAGCAAGGAAATTGCTTATGTTTCTGAGGGTCCTTGACTCGGTCAGCTGGCTGTAAGGAAAGCACAGGCCCTGACCGCTGGTACCAGTGCTTTGCTTGAGCTGCCATCATTGGAACCGCAGAGCAAACTCCATACAGCCTCAGGATTATCAAACGTCATCAATCCAAGCGTCGCCAATCCATATGCAAGGCACGGTTCCTCATTCTCAGCTCTGCTTCAACCAAAAAGGCCTAACAGCACATGCATGTTTGTGAGAACCAGATACTTTTTCACACGACAGGAATATAGAGCACGCTACCAAGAAGCGGGTGAGACAGAACAATCATACAGACCAGATGGCAGTCACACTGCTTAATGCACAGTTGGAAGGTGCCCAGCTAGTCTGGTGATGAGCAACAGAAGAATCCATATAGGATAATACTCTTTGTTAAGTGCCAACAATTTATTACATTACATTCTTGAGAACAGCTGAGGTGAATTAACCACAGTAACCATTTCTTATTCCTTCTGACAGCCCTGAGATCGTATCTGTACTGCTGCTGTGGTTGATGGTACCTTCTGGGCAGATGTGAACTTGTTCAAAGCTAACCAAAACCCAACTGTCCAGGTTAGCGTAGTGCCAAACCCTGGCCGATAAACTACCCAGCGGGTGTGTTAGCTTATGCTCGCTGCTGCGCTAACGATCACCTGGGTTTTGGTCAGGTTGGAGCACGGCCAGAACAGGCTTGCATCCACTCAGAGAACAAAAACAGTGCTTGACAAAGACGACAGACCAGGTGTGCAGTACAGTGGGTTAAATTGTCTTCCCTCCAGCTACTTCGAACAAAGGAATGGGTTACTGGGAACACGCCCTCTACATAGTCTTTAATCTGATAAAGCAGGTATAAGACCAGGTATTTGTCTTCTCTTGTGTACAGCCTACATCCATGCCCGTGTATCACCATTTAGCTCTAAAAAACATCCTTCAAGTTTTTAATTTAAAAAAAACCCAAACCATTCAGCAATTTCATGAAAACAATGCTGCAAAGCGGAATTAGGCAGAACTCGCGGAGGTCGTATTTTCTATTGCCTGTCCTGAATTTGATCTTGCACTAGGGACAGGTGAGGTAAACAAAGCAGAATCTTAACCACAAAAATCTGGATTGCCTTGATATTCTGGAAACGAAGCTAAGACAATACTGCTGTTTTTTCCCAAAGAACAGTCTGCCCCTGTAAGATAGGTATTTCACGCACAGAAGGGGAAATTAATTAATTTTTACTCAGAAGACGATTACTTCTCTCTACAGACGAGCATACCTTAAATACTGTTATTGTTTCATGAACTCCTGATGATCAGATAGAAGCCATTTTCTACATGAGCTCCTGTGCAACAAAGTACCCAAGTACTCTGTGGTTATGATTTGCATGAGCCATCTGCTCTTGAACCATCGCTGTCCACATCCAGTCATCTGCAACCATGGATCAAAGCAGACAGCAGGTTCAAGAGCCTTGGCAACATCATCATCTGCATGAGCCAACTCAGTGCCATGGCTTATTGTAGTGGGAACACAGGTATGAGTAGTTTCAAACTATGATTTAAGATTTTTGCTATGTTTATTTGGGTTATCTTGTAAAGGGAACATTCCACAGTATGATGGCATGCAACTATAACATCCAATTCTGTCTGCAGAGGAAACCTAGTGATCAGCTAAAATCCATAAAATTATTGCAGTTTTAACACAAAAAATTTATGTAGTTAAGTCAGAAAACAAGAAATTTTACTCTTTTTTAAAAATACAAACTCTTAATGATGTTCTGCATTACTTCTAATACAGTTTTTTTTAAAAAGAACACCTCTCCAGAAAACATTTCAGGCTTCACACAAGAATCTTGTTAAGAGGCAGTTTTATTTGTTTTGGTACAGCTTGCTTTAACCACTTGATTTTAGATAATTATTTTTCCAGTTAATCAAAATCTCTGTCTCTTGTTTAGACTTCAAAGGTACCTATCACCTTTGTATTTGAGTAGTAAAGATCACTGCTTTATTTATATTTATTGAAATCATGACCTTTATTACTACCCCAGATACTAAGTCAGTAATATCTTTCCTGTTAACTATCCACATATACTTTGAAATATTGTCGCCTACTTTGTTGTGTTTTCTGTTTTTTAATTGTAGGTCTGATGCTAATGAATGGAATAAAACAGGACGCCTTAGAAAGAATCATGTTTCCCATCTCTGGAAAAAAAGTTATTTTCTTTACTTCACTATTATTTCCCCTGATAGTTACCTCAAGCTTATGACAACAATGTAGTTTTAACTCTTCACAGCTGTTTGGTGGTATTTCACTGACAGCACTTTGTTATGATGGGCTGACTGCTTAAAAGACTCTGGAAAGCAAGGCAACTTTCAAAATTCAGGTTTTAATTAATAGGTATTCATCTCTCAAACCATCCTGGCAGCAGTCTCTGAGAATGGGCATGGAAAGGAGCTCCTCTAATACTGAAACTCAGGCTCCCTTTAATGTAGGATTAAGGTATGCCAACCAAGAAACCTACTGACCATTCTCTTTCTTATCTAGAAAAGGAGGATCTCCTGACTTACCGAAGGTAATAATAAATACTACACAGATATCCACAGCCACTGAAGAACTATGTCCAGATTTCATTTTGGCTGTAAATGTGGCAATGCCTGTGAACCAATCAAAAGAGTACAGATCTTTGAGAAAGATGAGATCAACTATTATTGCCCTCCAGCAAAAACTGGAGATCTTCAGTCTTCCTCAGTCGATGTTTCTTCATTCTCAGAATCCCTCACTTTCAGATGCAAGTGCTTCATCAACAGATTTTGTATGCCTCTCCCCAGGACAAATCCCGTAATGCAGCTGGTCATCTTTTACAGTAGCCCAGGACATCTGCTTGGTGGAGAACCTTGCTGCCCACTCTCCTGAATTGTTAACAACAATGACACCCCCCAAGCCCCCAACTCGTGTCTTCATGTAGTCTAATGCAGTGTCAGCAGCCATCTCTGGTGACATTCCTGAAAAGAAGAGCAAGATAACTTCATGGTATCTGTCTCAAAATAAGTTTTAAATTCCCTTCAAGTGTCACCCCTCCCTATGCAGCCAGCCAAACCTAATTCCTCCTTCAATTAAATCAGCAAGAAATTTCCAGTGTAGCAAAGGAACTGTTTATAGGAAGGCTCTGGACAGTTGCTAATAGCAGCTATGGTATGGTGCTGCTACAAAGACAGGATTTAAATAGCTTCAGACTGTAATTCAGTTTCAGTGTTTGATATAGACTAACTCATCAACTCCATGTTCAAGACACATTTCTTATGCCATCATTTGAAGGGAAAAATGCCAATCTGCAAGCCTTCCATCAAAGGTTTGTCACAAGTTAGGTCTAAAGCATTTACAATTTGAAAAAACCCACACATTAAAACAATCAAAAATGTCAGTCATCATCTATGTTCCAAGTCCACTGTCTGCAATGGAGCTCAAAGCACATACTTCACAATGTCATAATTTATCAAAAGCAGACATCAGCGTTACTCTTCCTGAAACTTCTGAAAGTGTCAGGCAACATGGGAACTCAAATGGACCAGCCATGAGAAAGGCCCAGCAAACCAACTTTATCTTTTCATTACGCTTAATTCGTATTAACAGGAATATTTTCTAAATAAATCAAAGTTCATGTGTACATCATACACACAGGCCTGTAGAGTATAGCTGCAGAGTATTTGTTCGCTACAGGTTTCAATATATATTCAGGAATGCAGCTGGCTCGGCCTGATTGTTCTAAGATATTTACGATTGGTAATGTTATGCAGCTTAGGTTACAGAACAAAAACTGACCTTCATGCCTTTCCTGCAAATTTTGAGTTAGAACCAAACAAAACCAGCAGAGTCAGAATTATTCACAGCACTGATGACTGACAGGATAAAGCTCCTTTCTCTGACGTTACGGGTGACACTGTGACTATTCAAGTCAGTGGCACTGACTTCAAAGGATCAGTATTCCACTGTTTGATTTTTCATCAAGACAACAGCTGCCACCATAAGACAGAGATTCCAACAGCTGTTAAGACTGGCAAAGCAATTCACTCCTGAAGTAAATTTTGCAGCATCGGTCCAAAAGAAGATATTTACTATGTGAATTACTGAACAGCTGAACAGAATTATGAAAGAGCTCTATAGCTGTTCTTACATACACAACTTCAACTGACCGTTCAAGGACTCAAAAACCTGAGGGTTTGTTTTCAGCACCTTCATGGAAACGTTGCGCGGGGGGCAGGGAGGGTGGGGAAGCCTATTGCTGACGTATTTTCCTGGCAGCTGAGTTATACTTCTGGGCAGGATGAATGAAGGTGGAGCAAGCACAAGCAGGGTGAACAAGTGCAAGCCAATTAAACATGTGCACATGTGGGTTAATTTTCTTTTCTCTTTTAAAAAAAGAAATTTCTTAGTTTGAGGCAAATTTGCCTTTCACACTGATTTATCACAAGCCACACAACTGCTATCAATGCACAGGCTTTGCAATGCAGTTGACTTTGAGCCAGGGAATAAACTGGTTTACACAGTTTAGTCAAAATAGAGCTCAGAAGGCCATTCACAAATTGAATAGCAAAGGACGTAATATAAAGAGTAAGAGGAGATCATAACATGTTAGAGCTTTGTGAAATAATCTGTAGGTTGTATTTTATGCTGAAACTATCCCATTAGCCAAGAGATTTACAGAAAAATGCACTCATTATATGCAAACAGCTCTATAAAGCATTATAAAAATATTCTCAGCTGTTACTTGTCTACTTACTGCTTCTTCAATGAAAATGTAAATTGAAAGTTCTTTAACTATTTCCCATTCAGTTGATCTCAAAGCAAGTTACACTGTCCTGCCCAAAAGCTACAGCTTTCTAAAAATAATGGTGATATCTGTATTAATGGTTCTTCAACTGCATGCAATACAAGTACGTTGTCTGGCTATGTTTACAGGCTGTAATATAATCAAGGGTTTAGATGACAGACTAACTCATGAAGGTAAAGCTCCAAAGGGTCATCCCACAGTCAGATTATATTACAGTCACATAAGACATACTGTGTCAGCTGTTTACCACATACCCACCCAGTCAGTTTAGTGTATTTTCCAAAACAAAGTGAAAATTTAAATCATAGTTAAAATGTCTTAAAAGCATTTCTGTTGCTATAATCAGAGTTGTTAAAATAAAGACCTTTACAGTTTATTAGAAAGGTGATAGCCTATGCTTTCCTATTTCAGGCCCCATTATCTACCTCTAGCCCTCCCCTATTGCTTCCTTAAATACATCTTGCCTTTTTTACTTGTTTTCTATTTCTTTGTTCACAAAGTTTTAGTTTAAAAAATTACTAAAGAGAACTTCAGTTAAATAAAGTAGACAATGATGTCTTTCAATGCATCTAAAGCATGATTAAACACCAAGCAGCATAGATATTTATGTCCACTTAAGGCTATTTTAGCTTTATTAATACTTTAGTACTTTGTTTTCCTTTTAAGAAGAGGTGACCCATCCACTTACCCCTGGGAGCAACTCTTCTGACAACTGTTCTAGGATGATAGCACATAAACTGAAACCTGTCATTAGGCAACGTTTCCTATGCTCATTATTTCAGCTTACAGGAAGTTTGGAATATACCTTGCTCCATGTGATAGAGGATCAGTCGGGCTAAGACCACTTTCATAATGCTCTCCCCATGTCCTGTGGTTGAAGTGGCACCAGAACTGTTATCAGCATAACCTCCACTTCCTTTTCAGAGGGGGAAAAAAAAAAAAAAAAAAAAAGGCGGCAATATTCTGTAATACAATTTACAAGCTCTGCATTGTTTAAAACAGGTACCAAACATTTCTTACTAAAGGTCCGTCAGTTCTATACACTGCTGGGGGCAAAGTGTCAGTAACAAACTTCTTTCTCATTTCTGCCTCAGTTTGAAAAGTAAAACACATGAAAGAGATCAGTAACAGCTGGATGAAGTCAGTTGCCAAGTTGAGAGAGCTAGAAGACTAGCGATTTGCCTGTGGTACAAGAGGCAGGAGCAGGCCAACACTTCACAGGGATGGGCAAAAATATTTTCTAGAACAGCAAGAAATGGTATATTGAGGATCAGCAAGACAGCGATAGGATGCAGAATGCCAGATCACACATTACCAATTGAGAAGGTATGAAGGAAGATGTTCTGAGGACACCGGTGAAAGCAGATAAGAGATTTAAAGAGCCTGGGCTCTAGCGAAGCATCATGAAGTACCCCTGAAGAATCCTGCAAGTTCTCACCACAAGCAGAGTGTTTCTTCTGTTGAACCACTCCCT